CTGTGCCAAAAGACAACGTTTTAGAGCCAATTAGGAATAAACAACAAATAAAGTAAACTGAAGACGACAATACAAAAGTAAAACTAATGTATTCTGTACAACAAAAGTCTGTTCAAAGGCATTGAAGAAATGAATCAAATTAAATGATTGTCAATTTGCATGACTCATAAAATTCAAAATTTCAGATTACTGTTGCCCGTTATTTTTCATTTTCACCGTATATATCTCCATTACTTCCAAAAACAACCGGCTAGTTTACAGCCTTGAAACACTGTTTTTAAAATACTCGTGTTTTTGTATAGAAGTCATCTGTTGTCAAAAAAAGCGAATTTCTCAGGAGATAATACATGCCATAAAAGTTTTGCTAAGCAAATTGCTTTACCTAACCATTTCGCTTCTGACATTAAGACAGATACCGTTGCACTGGTAAGACGACAACGGAAGACACTAAAGAATGGGAACAATCGATGAATCAAACGTTCACCTACTAATATGAATTGTCTCAAACAAAGAATTCAACAAGCCTCTACCAAAAAGCTATCACACACCGCTTGCGCCTATTTTCCCACTAAATCCAGCAAAAAAAAGCAAACTTCAGCCCAAGATTTCGCGATAAGAGATACAGTATAATAATTAGATAATTTCATGACCAAACTGTTACTGACTTGATTTTGTTTAAATCTTCTACCATATCTCATAAAAAACTGAAAATAACAAGATGACAAATGTAAACATGTAAACAAAGTGTAAATAAATTTAGTAAGTACGCCTAAATATTAATTATTTATATACTGGCAAAGTTGTTACTCCACATCCACTCAGACCTCATTAAGTTGCAAGCGCTATTTAGGCTAATCTTTGCTCAGTTCTAAATTATAATACACAACCATCTTTTTAGTACTACAAGAACACCCAAATACTCGCAACTTGCTTAGGTAATCGACAGAAAAATTTCACACAAATTTTTGCTAAATGCAGTCCCTTTTCCTGCCTTACAATTAGTTTTCAAAAAAATATATAGCTTCTTTACGGCCTACAATATAACCCCGCTTAATTTTGTCCAGTCAAACTATACCAAAACAAAGAGTACTCAAAAAGCCTAATCAGCAACTATTAGTCTATCAACATATCTATACATTCCCCAACAAAAAGTGGAAATAATGACAAAAATGAAAAATTTACATTAAAAAAGCGGCTGAGAATTTCACTATAAACCACAAAAAAACAAAACCTACCAGTAACATAGCAACGTGTCTCGTTCAAAAATCTTTTTTTTTTTTTTTTTTATAAGCTCTTGAAATGCATCCAGCCAAATATCTAAACTTTTATTAATTCACTCTGTACTCAAGCAAAGTTATACTATTGTTTCTTGTTTTTTTATCCCCTCCTCTGTCTACCAAACAAACAAATTGTTATGTAATAAAGAACCCAATAACGCCAATATCTTTTAGACTAGTCTGCAATTTTACAACAGTAACTTTTATCAGATAAAACCTAAAAAGTACAAAACGATAATCTTTAAGAGTAAAATGAAACTGGATAGAATCCTTGATAAGCAAGATTTATGGTATTGAATTGTTCATGATTACAGTTGGTCAAGCATCTGAAAGTAAAAAAGAAATTGAAGAAACCAAAGCAAGGTACTACAAAAGAAACTCCTGCAGAATAACCGAAATCACTTTCACATTCGCGCAGTTTGCAACTGCACTCTAATTTGTTAGTACACTCGACCTGTAAACGCTAAAGCCATAATTTGGCTTCTAGTGGAAGTCAGAAGGAAGAGCAATAATAACAATCCCAACGCCTTTAAGATACTAAACACATTACTTTCTAATTAATACCATTACATTTTCAACAATTTTTTAACAACTGATGATGCCAAGAAAACACAAATGTTGCAAAAAAATTGAAATTTCTTGGCAACTGAGTTGTACAGCTAACTTCCCTTACTGTACTGCATCTGCCAAATTGAGTTCGGATACTGCAAAATCAGTCACTGCTAGATTTCAGAAATAATACTGTCATCCAATTAATGCCACTTTTCTCCAAAATTCGCCTATCCAAAAAAAAAGTGACCAGACCACGGAGCAGTAAAAAGTAACCGCACGCTGATCTTAACTTCATTATCTAACAGACAATATCGCTCACACGACAACCCAAGATTTCAGTTCCACCATTAAACACCTACGCCATCAAAAATCCACCCGAAGCTACGCCATCACCAAAAAGGAACTTGTGTAGCAACAAGACTACTGAGCCGATATAATGCCTCAAATAGCTGCCAATATTTAGTATTACACTTCAATTTATCCTGGTTGTTAGTGTCATTTTGCTGCGCTACCATATTGTACAAGAACCTACAATAGGAGGGACTGCCACCACAGCACTCAACTCGCCAATCATGCCAGTGGCTGTACAAAACTCCTTGCCACATGCGGAACCACGTGCGTCTCCAAATAGTTGGTGCTTCACCATAGGCTGAGACAATGGATCTGTGAAGCTCCCCTAAGTGACAGCCACAAAGTTTGTAGTATAAAAAACAAGTATTTTTTCTTTATCGACAAAGAAAACGAATTCAAGCATACAGTGCCGGGAGATTTGGTAAACAAAATAAGGTAATATAATCTCTTTTCTTGTCACTGCATTGAAACAAACGATAGTCGACATATCACTGATTAGCGTGCTACGAGGAGAGACACTTTTCCTTAACCAAAGTAATCCAAAAATGGCTTACACCACGAAGCTAATTAAAGACACTACAAAAGTGCATAGTATACTTTTGTAAAGCTTGAACCTTAAACTTTATTACGTTCAAAGCAAAACACAAATACAGTATGCAATGTATACAAAATATCTGGAACTAAATTAAAGAGAAAGACGATTAAAATCCCAAGGTTAGCCCAAAAACAGACGCTGCACTAAAAACACTTTCTTCAAACGAGCTCATAGTACACGCTAGTTTTAAAAATTAAACCCTAAGACATGTGCAAAACGAAAGTTAACACAGAAAACCAAATCAATCCCGGCAAACTCCGTGAAAAAATGTTGCAAGAGAAGTGATAATAATGAAAACCAAGAATACTAGAATTCCCACTGGAACAAGTTCGAGAAATGAATAAAAAAAGAAGCTGATGACGAAATTAAGAATACACACATGGAAGTTGTAGCATCAAAAGTAAGAATTATACACTTCACAGAGGTATAGCGGTTTGTAGGGAATATGCATATAAGGACATATCACAGTAAAGAAAGTTACATCACAGAAGAAGAACTCAGCTCCATCAACTTGCTTTTTAAGTTTCGAGGGTTCCCATATCTTCTCTTCAACGAAATAAAACTTGATGCATTTACAAAAGCTCAGCTCTTTGCAGCGAAAAAATTTTTAAACCAACTGAGTGAAGGACATTCCCCACCCATGTTTACTTTACAAAGACTAATAGTAACCAAACGACTGTTAAAAACAGCTCTTAGAGAATTACTTTAAAGAAGAAAGTGTGTCGCCTTTTTCGTCGGGTTTATTGCATTCAGAGCCCTCAGCAATATTTAATTCATCCATTGCCTTCTCCGCATTCTTTATTTCTTCATCGAACTGTCGAGAATCATCTATAACAAGCATGAAGACTTAGGAAGAAGTAAAAAAGCTTAAACCCCACGATGAACAGCATAAAGCTAAGCCTTATCAAAAATTCTCCGAAAGCTTGCCGAAACTAAAGGAAGTTCAATCAGATTACTGA